GATACAGTAGGGCTACAGTTGAGGGCAGACCCGCCGAGAGGGAGAGGGGCACTTTGCCCCGGGCCCCCAGTTCAAAGCGCCCCTAAAGCAATGAAGGTACGCTTAAAATTTCTTGATACAAGATTGCTTCACTGAGAATATAAAGTCTAGCTGCGTTAGTGTCGGATAATATGCAATAAAGAGTAATATATTATAAAACACCACTTCTCTCGTTTTACAATTATGACGTCATAGCAACCCCTGGGAAAGTTTCCCCCAGGCCCCGCGCAACCTCTCGGCGTTCTTGTTTGGGGTTTAGGAATCGAATTTGGCTCAATAACGTATAGGCAGACTGTATTCCCTCCAATTCCCCGAGGATGTTCCGCCTCGCGGGTAGATATACAATGTCTAATTCAGACTGTAGGTGCTTGAAGTGCAAAGGACATGAAAATTATACCAAATCATACCTAGTTTTTGAAATATTTAGTCTTTTAATAGATTTATTGATGATATTCAACTCCACCGACCGTAGAACAACTTGCAAACTCGAGTTACATCAAAATAGTCCATATATGGGCAAATTGTTTCAAATTCTACTACTTCAGTATTCAAAAACGAAATATCATAGTGCATCAGTGCATCACGCACAAACTTATACATATTATAGTAATATAGTTTGTGCACACAAACCGATGGGCCTTACTAAAGCTTTGTTAATTGACCATTCCAACCAATATGCATTCATTGGGACGTAAAAGAAAATTTCGACCCCTTTTAACGTATCATTGTGTTTTGGGTCCCTAGCTGATTTGTTCGTTCTGTGTAATTCAGGGTCCCCACTTTTAGTGAAGATGAAATTCAAGGACTTTTCCAGGACTTTCAAGGACCTTTTTCAGTATATTCAAGGACCTGGCAACTGGAAAAATCTTTGAAAATCAGCTTCGCAACACAACTTTTGGACAATTGTTATACATAATTTTAATTGAAATTGGAGAAAATAAACATTTGGGCAATAATCCTTGGGCTGGTGATAATTCTTCAATTATTTCCAGCCTACTGAAAAAAAATTCCAGGACTTTCAAGGACCTTATCATTTTCCAAGGACTTTCCAGGCCTGGATTTTTTTTAACAAATTCAAGGACTTTCCAGGATTTTCAAGGACCGTGGGGACCCTGGTAATTACATCAACCCTTTGCTCATATATAAAATCAAATGTGTCGCAACAAAATTAAAACCAATTTGGTGAGTATGTGCTTCTGGAGATCGATCTTCTTAGCCAGGTAATTTTCCACACCATCACGAGACAACGTTTAGCGATTGTTTGCAATATAAATTGTTGCCAAACCAAGCAAATTACTCGTGTAACATCATTGTTACGAGTGTAGTATAGCCGGAAAGATGCTGCCATCAGGGACACAGCATGAGAGGAGGGCAAATCGGAAACAAAATCTTGCCCTGGGTCAAGCAAAATCTCTTGACTAGCTGGCTTTCACGATAAAATTGGGAATTAGCATTGCTATGGAAAATTGGAGCCCTTTGGCGTTATGTCCCCCCCCCCCAGCCCTCCCCCAAACACATACATCAGCCGGCACGGCCCTGATTATAGGAAGGCAGTACGAAGAATATAAACAAATACAACTATTGGACTTACATCTCCATTTGATAAGAAGTGAATCTATATCCATTAGTAATGAGAGGATTTGATAAGGTTGATTAAATCTCGGTTCATCTCTTTAAAATAACAATTATAGTCATTAGTTATTCTATACATTCAGTGTGATACATTGATATTGGTGATGAGCCCATATTTAGGATGAGCCATATAAAGGACGGACATTAAATATTTGGGGGGGG